CTCAGCAACATATGAAATTAAGTTCTGTTTTCATCTCCAAGGCAAGTATCTGTAAATGGCAGTTCTTGTGATAGGATGTAAATTTGCATCAGTTTTCATCAGTTTTCCCACTTACAAGCATAACAGCTAGAATGCATTTCAGAGTCACAAATCCAAGCAATTGAAAGCCTTTCTTTAAACTCAGGTTTAGTCTTTTCCATTCAGTTCAGCTCAGGACAGAGTTCCTCACATAAGGATGTCCTTTGGATGGCCTTGTCAGGAGCCGTGCGGAACAAGTGCAAACCCTTCAATAAAACGCTGCTCTGCTCACAGTAACAAATCAGTTAGACCAGCCTCACAAAAACAAAGTGAGTCATCTTCTTTCAGCAAACTTTTCTGTTTTTCAAATACAAGACCTATTGCCGTTGGGATTCTTCGCTTTTGAGGCTCTGCTTTGCTCTGCAGCAAGCAGCTAGCGACCTTTCAGCTATGTTTTACACCCTTTCTCCTACTTTAAGAGAAAGTGTTTCCCCAGAAGGGCAACATTTGGAAACCCTGTATTGATATCGATTTCCACCACTGCTACAAAGCATAGCTAAATTTGGATTAAAATCTACATGATCTTGGGTGATGGTAACAGCGTTATGGTTGTGTGGTTTGGCTAGACAAAGAGAAATCCCTTCTGTTGCCGCACCAGTCATGGTCAGGGTTAGCCTCTGGCTACAAATGATTGCATCACGTTGGATGTTTGGGCTTCTTCATCTCCTGTATTGATGTGACAGTATTCCCTAGGGAAGACCAGCTTTTGCTGTTATTATTATTTAGTGCCTTGAGCTTGAGACTTCTGTTGGCAGCCTCTTAAGGATGGAGGGCAAGTGAGAACAGTGCCACGCTGCTGTCTTGTGTGAAGACGTGGTGATCAAATACATGTTTAAGCTCCTTGATAACAATGCTACCCATAGAGAGTCTCTACAGCCCACAAAAGGAATTACAAAAATCCAGCTGCAATGTGATGAAAACATGAATTAATGACTTCATATCCTTCTGTGAGAGTTCTGGTCTCAGCTTTGCTGATCCCTAGAGATGCCAGCAGGACACTTTAGACATATTCCAGGGAAAAAAATTCACTGAATGACCTCAACTTTATGTTCAAAGTGCCACGAGTGTAAAACTGGCAATTTAGATTCGATGTGTTTTTGCAGAATTTTAACCCCAGGAAATACTCAGGAATACAGGGCTGACTGTCACTTTGATGTGTGAGTGAATCAGCACCAGTTTCCCTGGCGTCTTGTGAGACCGAAAAAGGAACTTCTGTATCAGCTTCCTAACTGTGGGTTCCCGTTGACACAAAGCAGCACAGAGCTGTTCCCCTAGCAGCTCGATACATGACCAGGCTGGGTGAAAACACTTAATTAAAGTGTAGAAAAAACAAAAGACTGGAAACATTTCAGACAACAATAAATCTTCAATGCTTGAAACAAGTCAGTAAACCTGCTGGGGAGGGAAAAAAAAACCAACCCAACAACCCAAGAAAAATATCCCCAGTTAATTTCCTGGCAAAAGATTTCAGAAGATCATGTTTTCACAGTGGTTTCCAAGTGAAAAGCAGAATTTACTGTCATTGCTCCTACAGATGTTTTCACTGAGAAATGGTAACCTTATTCCAGAGACAAAACATTCAAAACCAGTCAATGCTTCCAAAGGGAAATAAAGCTGCTTTTCTGCCTCAGAAATCCCGCTGTCTGACAGTGTTGACACAAAACTCACTCTTGACCGACCTCCTGAATGCTCAGCAAGCTCAGTAGGGTGGTGTAGTTGTTTTGTTTATTTATAAGCGTGGCAAGTTTCCTACTGTAGCTGCTACCACATTTAAATGATCTTGGCAAGAGCGAGGCATATGGGATACATTCTGAAGAAGGACTAGGTCATTGCCCGGCTGGCAATTTCCTTTTCTTTTTAAGCCCAAAACACATCCTTCCAGCCTCTGCTAAGTGTTACTATTTCTGAGGGTATTTGAAGCAGGTAAAATGGCAGGAGCGCTAAAAAGGAGATAAACAAGGACTCTGTGAAAATGCCTCACGCTGACCTTGAGGCAGAATACTGAGGCTCTCCAGGCACTCCACAGTACAACCATTCATGGCAGACAAATACACTACTTTTAGAAATTTTCTGCAAAGTATCATAAAAGCTATAGCATTCTAGCATCCCAGAAAACAAAAGAGGAAGTCTGTTTAAAGTTAAGGAGCATTTTCCTGGATCTGAAATAGATCTACAGGCAGAACATTGGCACGTATATCTATACGAATTGACCTTCAGAGGAAGCAGAAATGTCTTTCAGCCCAAACATATGTAAATGAAACAGTTATGTGAGGAGCCAGAAAAGAGAGATCCAAGCTTATGAGACTGAAGTCTCCCAAGAGAGATCCAAGCTTGTGAAGTTTAGAGCATTCAGTCTAGTGCAGCTTGCTAAGAGAGTCAATAAAGCTGTGAGTGAACGATAGCCCTAGAAAGGACAGTGGTGGTGAAACATCAGGGAATGGATGTTCCAATCAGCACTTTTTATTAAGAAGTCTTCATCTCAGGTTTTAATGAATATTCTGCATTTCCTCTGTTTTTCCAAGGGTTTTTCCATTTGGGTTGGTTTTGTACGGGATCGCATGTTTCTATGGAAGCTACAGAGGTTTCATGCTCTGTCTTACTGCAAACATTTTGGGTTGGTTTTCCCCTTCCCTGCTTCACTTTTCTGCATACTACTCAGTGCCCCAGACGAGCAAATCTTTCTAGGTATAGACATCTAAATTCCATCAGCTGGTCCCCACAAAGTAAATCCATCAGTATAAATACTCAGTGCTTCTGCATATTCCAAACATCTCACGCTCCTGTTCATCCCTCCCCTTGCCACCCTGTTGTCTCCCTTCCCAGCGTGCAGAGGTTGGGGAACACCTGTCCCTGAATGGTGCTATTTGAGCTGATGGAGGAAGCAAACCCTGGAGTGGTGAATCCTTCTAAAAGTGTGCCCTTCTGACCACTGCCTCCAATCTGCACAAGTAGAGCTCACCTCAAGTGCCTGCACTGCGGGGCACAGCAAGAGGTGGTCTCTCCAGCAGGTGCATCCTGGCAACTTCTAGCTTCAGAAACGTGAAGTCCACATTTTAGGTTTTACCCAGCACCACTCATCAGCTCATGCTGGCCATGTGTTAGCTACTTCATATGATTATGATGGGTGACTCCAGACAGTCAACAATGATTTCAAAGTCCATCAGACAGCACTTTCACAGTGCAGTGTATATTCTTGGTATTCGTCGATTGGTTTGTCATTTATGATTTTGGAATGAAATTGGTTAGTGAAATTGCTTAAAAGCCCCACACTGTGAATGTCAATACAGACCCATCCTGAAATAACATGATTTTAAAATTAATCTTAGACACCTTCTGCAAAGGACAGTTCTGAAATCATGCTTCCTCTCCTCAGACTGAGAATCAAACTACAAATGCTTTGCATAAGTGAGGTAGTTTCTACTGTCTACATTGACTAAGAAAGTGGAATATGCGTTTTGGAATCCTGGTGGCTACAAATCAGTTTACAAACTGATCCACAAATGACATCTAAAAATCGATTCAACAGCTGCTGAAATTCAGATGTTTCTTGAACAAACAATGGCAATTGCTTACAGGATCCTAACAGTAAAACTACGTCAGACACACAGCCAGAAGTGCAGAAAAATTACAAATTTTCACTGTCTTAGAACTTGCTCTCAAAGGTAACCAGATTGCTCCAAGTTTTGTTTGCACTAGGGTTTGGTTTTTTTAAAGGTATCGATGGACTATTAAAATCATCCAACATAAAGCTCCCCTGTTACCATGTCCTACCTGGATGAGACAATTTAGGAATATATTTTATTCTCCCGTGCCAGAGTTTTAGAAAGTGTCAATGCAATAGTGCAATTTCGAAGGAAAAAAGAAAAAGCCACAAAAGAAAGCAAACTTCTCTGCTCCTGCTTTATGTTACTCTGTAGAAAATCTCAGCATAAACTATTACCATCTTGTGAAAAATTACGCACTATTCACAGCTGGTCAGTAAGCAAACTTCTTTTATGTACTTGTGAACTAATATAATCAGTAATTATTAAACTGATATTAGAAAAAAGATACAGGTATCCATGTTTGATAATAGTTTGCAAATGGTTTTTATGCTGTTGAGTGAACTAAAACTTAAACTCCCAACAGGCACTGAAAGGAAGGATAATCCTCAGGTCTTCTGTGTACTGTTATCAGTAAATTATAATAAAAGCTTCTATGTTTGCAACGGCTATTTTTATAAGCATTTCTTCATTCATTCGTTTATCTTCAGCCTCAATAAAAATTAGCATATTAAGCAGATAAAGTGGAATTCAAGACAGTCAGTTTTAAGCCTGACTTCAACAACTATCAGGAACCTGAACCTGATTTTCCCCATACTCGATGATACAGAGTCAACACACAACTAGAGAGAAGTGCATCACTAAAAAATAGCCTTTCCCCGTGGACCCATCCTTTTGGTACCACTCACAAGCTCTTTGCAACCAGAAATCAGATTCTGATTTCAACTGCAGTGGTCTAATTAACCTGTCATCAAAGCAGTGACTTTAGCTTTACCTTGACGTAATGGAGATTAGTCTTGACTAAATATTCCATATATGCACCCGTGTAAATGAGAACAAGACTAACATTTCCATTTGTAGCTTGCACAGTAATTTTTTTGCAATGATAAGCACTTTTTCTCATGTCCTCACTTTATTTTCTCTTTTGTTCTTCAAGAGGGCTATTGATTTCTCTCCTCTTCAAACGCTGTATGATCTGGTAAGTCAAAGGGGATCATTTCAATGGTGAGGAGTGGATCAGGACACAAACCTGAAGAGCAGAACTAAAGAAATTCTATTTCTGGGTGAGCTTGTTGCATTAGCAGTGCTGTTGTATGTGAAGAAACCCAAACCCTCTTCACAGACTACTGTCAAAGGCAGCCGGTGGGAAGAAATGCCTACCTGAAGACGGCAAGGCTCAGGGACCAGAGCACTAGTGGTTTCCTCAGTTCAAATTTTGCTCGTTTGTTCATTAGGTGCCGACCACCAAATATAAAAGCAGCATACAGAGCTGAAAATAGGAATGATTTCTTCCTGCAAAACAAAACAAAACAAAACCACCTGTCAAGTATTTAGTATTAGATACACAGTAGAGTCACATCTGGACATAACTGCCAAAGGTTTGTGGGTTTCCTTGAAAGGAAAGTCTTTTGAAGACTCTCCTGCAGCCCAGCTTGACATTATGGTCAGTGTATGAACCTACAAGCCTGCATGTAGGGCCAGGTACAGGCAAAACTGGGAAAGTTCTGAAAAAGGACACACAAATTTGGTCCCATTCTTGTCCACTTTCTGAAGACTGAACTTCTATCAGGAACAGAACAGGTATGGAAGAGTCCAGACGCACTTTTACAAGCACTACACGGTTGATACTTGAATCACCTGATCATGTTTTATGGCTGATTAATCTTTTTCCTATCAGATTTTGTTTCCTGCAGGTTCCTTGCTACCTGGCAATTTAGTCTCCCATTGTTGCCTCCAAGAAGACACTTAAGGATCTCAAGCACTGCAACATAACTTGATGAGCCTCACGAAAAGCAGAGAACCAGCAAGGAGAGGTCAATAAGGCCCATCCAGCAGCGACCACGCTGGACGGCATCGCTCTGGTGCACAAGCCATGACTGTGAGTGACAGTTCAGGGAAATCCAGTGTATTTGCTGAAAGGTCAAGCAGGGATCTGTTAAGAACTCCAATGTTACTTTTAGAATTGCAAGTTTTATTTTTAAAACTGCCTCATAGTAGCCCAGCTCAGCAATAATCAGGAAATATTTGAACTCTGCTACTATAACTCATTGTAAATCTATCATTAGAGGTCAAAAATAGATTCAGCCTGGGATTCCTTCCCACACGGCACAATATTACACTGACTAAGACTTAATGACTTACAGCATTAATGGTGGCCTAACTGGATGGACATGTTATCTAGGAACAGGTATTTTTCTACAAAATCTGTAATTATATTCACAAATAACAGTGGATTATGGCTTTGCATCAAGAAGTGCTGGTTCTTTTTGGACCCCAAAAAAGAAAGACAAACACTCTCAAGAAAGGTAACTACTTCATTAATATCCCAGAAAAGCTGCCAGCAGGCTCCAGGTTTCTTCTGAAGCTAGAACCCCGAGATGATGCAGCATCAGACAGACCTGCGATCAGGGCATGGCATGCTGCCCAGACCTCCCACTGGGAGAGAGGTTCACCCACACTTGTTGTCTTTGGAGTTTTTACAGGATTTTCAGTTGGATGTTTATATGAAAGTATGTTGCTTCACCTCAAGCTAAAGACAAGGACGTGCTCATGTTGTCACTACAGGTGCCATGTAGGTGCCACCTCCAGGCTCATCCGTTTGTGATTAGAGTATCCCATGGGCTGAGAGGAAGGGCTGAGAGTATCCCATGGCAAATGATACGGGCAGCACAGCGCAGTCCTGAAGGCCAAGAAATGCAGTAAAACACAGCACAGTGTGTGTCCACGCCTGCTGAAGGCAACCAGTACATGGATCATGAGCTTCTCGATGGAAAATGGTCTTCCCATGAGATCCACAAAAACTTAAAAAAAAAAGCTGTAGAAGCACATCTGACTGTACATATGAAGAAAGCATATGCAACCTTCACTGAAGACAAATGAGTTTTATATGAGTTTGAAAGCTAATTAAAAGCAGAGTCCAAAGAGACAGAAGCGTATCAGTATGTGTGCAGTAGCACATCATCTTCTGCCCACTTAGAAACTCGCTCTGTTTCTACCGACATATTTATAGCTTTGTGCTGCACAACACAGGTAACTGCATACAAATCCAACTGGTGCTCTGCACCAAGAAGGGAGGGCCTGTGGTCCCCTGGCTGAGCTTTAGCACCCATACTGGCAACAAGCCCCAGGAAAACCAGGATGATCACACAGGCAGTGCCCACTCTCACCTTGCACACTGAGGTGATCTAATTGCCATGGCAATGTTCATCACAGCTGGGTTTTGAAAATCGCAAAGCCTCAGCCCTTATTTATCTCATCATCAAGAAAAAACACATTTATTTTCACGTCTATGGTTCTGAATTTCACAGTCAGGGAAGGGGCTCGATTACCACATTTGATAGCATGATTGCAGTTTAGCTTGGCTGGAGGTCAGTAAATACTTGTTAACCAGTTTGGGTAGTGATGAACCACCTCAAACTTGCTCACACTGAATTGCCTAACCATTAAAACCAAGATTTACAGTTTACGGGACAGGAGCAGACTCTCAGTCTGAGGTTGGGCTGCATTCCCATCTTGCCCCTGTAGCCTCTTTCAGCAGCAGCGTGCAGAGCAGCCCATCACTAACCTGGGCACGGGCGAAAGGAGGCAGAGGGAGTGTGATGGGCTGTACCACAGCCTGCAGTACTGCCCTGGCTGCCCCAGGACACTGGCAGAGACATCTGCTCTTCATGCTTCTGCCCCTTCAACCCCACAAAAGTCTAGGCTTACAGCACTCAGCGCAGACAGGCAGCAACGGCCACACTGAGGCACGGAGACCCAGAGGCACACTTAGGGCCACTTGAGCCAGCTCACACGCAGGAGCCCCACAGGGGGAACCCCATACCAGGAGGGAGGTGCAAAGCCCCCACCTCACAGCACTGCAGTGGGAGTCCCTTATGCCAGAGGCAGGAAAGGTCCGTCTTGCACTGGTCCATGCATGGAGTTCCAAAGCAACAGAGAGCGGTGCAGTGTGACATCTCGAGCAGCATAGGGGCAAAGACTGCAAGAGGGTGCTGCCACGCAGCTGCCAACAGGACACAGGCTATGCAGGCTGGCATGGGAGGAGGTCAGGATTTAAGAGCATTAGTTAGAGATACTTTGTGGGAAGGCAGGCAGGCAGGAAGCAGTTCAGTTCAGAATCAAATATAGCCAAGACTTCAAGGTAATGGTTAGGCTTCAGCTCCACTTCAACATGAAAAAGTCAGTCTGAGTGAGTAAGCAGCTCAGATCTGTGCTCCATTGACTCCCTACTTCCTGGGCAAGATAATCTTATCTATTTACACCAAGTAACATTTCGTTTTGCTTCTTACTACTGAAACTAATTTCTGTGAGTTGAGTCAGTCTGTCGAGGTCAATCCTCATAGTATACTAATTAGAACAGATAAATTTTAGATCACATTTAGCAGCTTTGTAATCAGTTCAGCATTATTTGCAATGATGGTAAATGGTACTCCCACAGTGCACAGCTTTGTAGTGGCAGTGGCAGACGAGAGAAGATTTGACTGCATGCATGATGTGAACTGCAGCGAGCAGCTGTAAGCAGTTTCAGACAGGGAGGGACATAGCAGTACTATCTATCAGAGGTAAGTACATTACTAACTAATGATTAGGCTGATTTTGAAATCATCTCTCTGTTTCGACACCTGCTGGCAGCTTTTATTAACTTTTCACATCCAAAGGACTTTGAATTTTTCCCCCTTTGCAGCATAATAATAGTTAAAAGGACTGGGTAGTCTACGTGATACAGTTATAAAGGGGTTGCAGAGGTATGTACTCTTAAGATAATCTGTTTAACTGCATTAGACCAGTATTAACCAGCTTCCAACCAGTGTTTTTATGACAGATTTTCCTGAAAGGTTCATGACTACAGTCTGGTTCCTGGGTTGGTGACAAAAAGCAATGGCAATCTGACAGCATGCACTTATATCTGATATAGTTTTAGCCAAAGGAGGCTAATATCAAATAAGCACTTTTAAAAACAAGAATGTGGAGCTGTTCTGGAGCGCTGTAACTTTTCATTACTATTATCTGAAAAGAAACTGAATAGAGCAGAGCAACAACAAAAAAATTAACCTTGAAACTAAAATAATAATTAAAAAATCCCCCAAAGTAATTCAGTAGCAGACTTGCAACCAATAACTTCACTGTTAGCACATTCATATGTTTGTCTTCAATTCTATTCTGCAGTGTAACACAGTAGACATGAAGACAGGGCTGCCAAATCCTCCACATTTTTCTGGCATTTCTGTTTCTCACAGTTGTCTCCCACCTTCCCACATTTTCAGACTTCAGGGACTAAGTACGGTCTCTACTGAATATAACTCCATGTTTCCTCATCAAAAGTTGCCAGTTCTTTCCCCAAAAAGTGAAGCAGGAGAACCTGCTCTGCTCAAGCTGGGAGTTACTACAAGAACAGGAGGCAGGAGTTTGGGGTTACAGGCTAAAGATGCGAGGCAGATCTTCTAGGATGCTGGCACAGAGGGGGCCGTATCACGAGGTGAGGGGGCAGTCAGAAGCAGCTGACACGATGGGAGAAACATAAGAGAAAGGATAAATGGCAAATATGGCAGCAAATGAGGGGAGCTGGCAGCCAAGAGATGGACATGAAGCTGGGACAGCAAGGAAGGGAAGGTGGCTTGAAGCCCTTCCTCCGCTGAAGCACCTGGAGAGGTTTTTCTTGCACCCACAGGCATACCAACGGGCTCAGGCTACTCACAGAGCTACGGCTACCCACAGAGCTACGGC